TTGTTTACAGCAACAAAGAGCTGGAGAGACAAGAAGGTTTCTGAAGCACCAGGACTTGGGCTTCAGAAAGGGTATTATATTCAGAGCATTAAGAAGTGGGGTGAAAGATAGTTAGTCTGAACATGGAATATTTCTCTATTATGTCTTCTTTAATGTCTCTGAATAAAGTTTTGGTCTTCTCTCTAGAGATAGACACATCTTTTGTTAGATTATTCCTAGGTACTTGTTATGTTTAATGCTATTATAAGTTGTCCATTTCAGATACTTTTAAAAACTATTTGTGGGGCTTCCCTGGTGGTGCAGTGGTTGAGAGTCCGCCTGCTGATGCAGGGGACACGGGTTCGTGCCCCGGTCCGGGAAGATCCCACATGCCGCGGAGCGGCTAGGCTCGTGAGCCATGGCCGCTGAGCCTGCGCGTCCAGAGCCTGTGCTCCGCAACGGGAGAGGTCACAACAGTGAGAGACCCGCATACCGCAAAAAAACAAAAAAACAAACAAACAAAAAAACACAACTATTTGTGGCTGGTATATAAAAATGCAATTGATTTTTATAATTAGTCTTGTATGCAGTAAACTTTCTAAGCTCTTATTAAGTCTAATAATTTAAATGTAGTTGTTTTTCCTTTCTTCCTTTCCAATACTTAACACCTTTATTTATATTTCTTTCTTGCTTTACTGTGCTGGCTAGGACCTCCAGGACAATGGGGAATAAAATAAGTCTTTTATTCTTGATCTCAAAGGAAAATTTTTCATCTTTTAAACATTAAGTATTATATACTTTAAAAGTTATCCTTTATCAATTTAATACAGCTTTTGCCTCCTAAAGCATAAGTTTTTAAAAAATAGATATTCTTTATCAGCTTAAGAGCTTCTCTTCTAGGGACTTCCCTGCTGGTCCAGTGGTTAAGAATCCGCCTTCCAATGCAGGGTGTGTGGATTCAATCCCTGGTCAGGGAACTAAGATCCCAATGACGAGGGGCAACTAAGCTTGTGAGCCACAACTACTGAGCTCGCACGCCTCAACAAGAGAGCCCACGTGCTGCAAACTACAGAGCCCACGCGCTCTGAAGCCTGCGTGCCACAATTAGAGAGAATCTGCACGCCACAACTGGAGAGAAGCCTGCACACCACAACGAAGACCTGATGCAGCCAAAAACCAGAAAAAGATAAATTCTAGTCCCAGTTTGGTAAGGTTTTCGCTTTTATGAATGGATGTTGAATTTTATTAAAAATTTTCTTCTATTGAAATGACGAAATGTGTTTATCCCATCAATCAGTTAAGGTATAAATTATATTTTGATTTTTAAAAATATTAAGCCAAACATATTCCTGATATAAATACATGGTTATAATGTACATTCTGGGTTTGGTTTGCTAGTATTTTAAGATTATTGTATCCATATTAAAAAAAATGAAATCAGGGACTTCCCTGGTGGTCCAGTGGTTAAGAATCTGCCCTTCCACCACAGGGGGCGTGGGTTCAATACCTGATGGGGAAACTAAGATTCAGCATGCAACGCCGCACAGCCAAAGAAAAAAAAAAGAAAGAAAGAAAAAAAAGAAATCGTCCTATATATCCCATTTATCTTTGCAAAGTGGGTTTTACCATCTTAATTTTAGTTGTGACTCCTAAGAAGTGAATAATTGACCAGTGTCATATATAGATAGTTCGTGGCTATGCCAGTACTGGAAATCAGGTCTGTCTGAATACAAAGCCTGTTTGTCTCCTCTAAGCCACATAGCTTCCGTGAACACTTATCAAGGCTTCAAAACCAATTGCCCAGCTCCTAAATGTTTTGAAAACATAAGATTCAGAGAAGGAGCATGAGAAGGGTAATAGCAGCAAATAGTCTTGGGAGGCTGTGCTAATATTCTGATTCACCAAAGCCAAGAAGAAATAATTCCTCTGCAGTTGAGGAGAAAATGTGAAGCTAAAAGCCTAAGTAGCTATCCGTGCAATTCCATAGGAATCAACTTTGCAAATAAGCATAAAAAAGAGAAAACACAGCAAAAAGTTGCTAGATCAAAAATATGGCACGAGAGCTTCCCTGGTGGCGCAGTGGTTAAGAATCCACCTGCCAATGCAGGGGACAGGGGTTCAAGCCTGGTCTGGGAAGATCCCACATGCCGCGGAGCAACTAAGCCCGTGTGCCACAACTACTGGGCCTGCGCTCTAGAGCCCGCGAGCCACAACTACTGAAGCCCCCATGCCTAGAGCCCATGCTCCGCCACAAGAGAAGCCACCACAATGAGAAGCCCACACACCACAACGAAGAGTAGCCCCCGCTCTCTGCAAGTAGAGAAAGCCCCCGCGCAGCAACAAAGACCCAACTCAGCCAAAAATAAATAAATTAATTAATTAAAAAAATATATGACATTAGGGGCTTCCCTGCTGGCACAGTGGTTGAGAGTCCGCCTGCCGATGCAGGGGACACGGGTTCGTGCCCCGGCCCAGGAAGATCCCACATGCCGCAGAGCGGCTGGGCCCGTGAGCCACGGCCACTGAGCCTGCGCGTTCGGAGCCTGTGCTCCGCAACGGGAGAGGCCACAACAGTGAGAGGCCCGCGTACAGCAAAATAAATAAATAAAAATTATATATATATGTATATATGTATATGACATTAGATCATTCAAAAGCCAAGGGTAAACCAAATTATAGAAATTTAATTCCTCAAGATAAAAATATGGCTCCAGCTAAATACTGCAATGTTCAGAAAATGTGTTAGAGTGAAGGAAGCTATTGATTATATATAGGCTAACTCGAGGGAGAAATTGAAAACCCACATTTCAGCTCTTGGATTTGAATAAACAAGAGAAAAACATCAAGATGGAGGAAGGGGCTTCCCTGGTGGCGCAGTGGTTGGGAGTCCGCCTGCCGATGTGGGGGACGCGGGTTCATGCCCGGGTCCGGGAGGATCCCACATGCCGCGGAGCGGGGGACCCGTGAGCCGTGGCCGCTGAGCCTGCGCGTCCAGAGCCTGTGCTCCGCAGCGGGGGAGGCCACGGAAGTGAGAGGCCCGCGTGCAGCAAAAAAGAAAATGGAGGAAGGATTCCCAATGCAGCATAAAAAATGTATTCATACTTGTTATTATATCTTTATAAAACTTAGTGAAATGTGTTCACTTGATTTAGCAGCACAGCGTACGAGACACCGTAGGGATGGTATCTTCATTCCTTGAGGTGTCCCCAGGGTGTCTATGAAAATCTTTGGAAACCAGAGTGTAAATCCTTACATTTTTCACACTTACCTGAAGTACTTTAACAGCTATTTGCTCATAATAGCTCCCATAAAAGTAATCGTCATCTTTTAAGTTAATGAGGTTAATCACCCTTTTTACTGTACATAATGAGCCAGACACTGTGAACAATTTCTCTCTTCCTTCTCTGGGTTCTTGTCAAACCTTGTTTTAGTCAGGGTACACTAACTGCTGTAACAGTCACATCTCAGTGACTTAACACAACGAGTTTATTTCTGACTCAAATCACAATGCAATGGAGGTTGCAGGTGGTAGGGGGAGAAAGAGAGAGCCCCTTGCATAACGATTCTAATGGATCCTCTGATAGATGAAGAGAGCATGGAGAATTGCATGGGAAAGCTTCATGGCTCAGGTTTGGAGGTGGTGTTGATCACTTCTGCCCGTATTTCATTGGCCAGAACACAGTAATGTGGTTGCAAAGGAGGCCAGGAAACGTAGTCCTTTTACTTGCCCATGTTTTGATGAACAACTAGTCTCTACCACACTAGTAAATCAGGAAGATTAAATGAATTCTTTTTTTTTTTTTTTTTTTTGCGGTACGCGGGCCTCTCACTGTTGTGGCCTGTCCCGTTGCGGAGCACAGGCTCCGGATGCGCAGGCTCAGCGGCCATGGCTCATGGGCCTAGCCGCTCTGCGGCATGTGGGATCTTCCCAGACCGGGGCATGAACCGGTGTCCCCTGCATCGGCAGGCGGACTCTCAACCACTGCACCACCAGGGAAGCCCAACACTGGTAGTTTTAATAGGTTTCATAGTCATAAAATGTGAGAACTACAGGGAACCACAGAGTATATACAGTCATTCTATAAATCAGAAGACTGAGGGTCAGAGAGCTGTGTCACTGAAGCCCAATTCAGATCAGCCTTAACTGTGCTCTGCAGCTTCTGACATCAAACCACATGAAATTTTAGGGGATCATAATGCTTGCTAGAGTTTGGTTATTGTTATCTACAGATGGGTCTCTTTAGTTGAAACTGGAGGACAGAAATTCAGAAACACACACACACACAAAGGTTTGTTTCTAGTTGAAGAAAACTGAAATGGGCTTTAGAATATACTTAATGCAAACTTTTTTATAGATATGAAACTCAGGCCCAGAAAGGGGATATGACTTTTTGAGAACAGGTTACTGGCAGAATCAGTACTAGAATCCCAGTTCTGTAGCTCCAGATAAAAATTCATCTTCACGTGAAGACCTCCTCTTCAGGGCTCATCTCTTTATTTGGTGTTTCTTATCTTTGAGAACCCAGGGCCCTTATACTAAACACAAAACACACTACCCATATCTACCCTTCCATGTACACTGTTCCACTGTCAGGCCCTAATCTCCAATTCCTAATCTCCAATGCCCACTGACCCCTACCCTCTTTCTAACCTAAGACACACACACTACATACACCATGCACCCTTTACCTTTTCTGAGTCCTAATTCCTTTCAACAGCTTCATCTACAAACCAAGGTGTGGACAACTAACAATGGTATAATGATTCAGCCCCTCCTTGGATATCTGTATTTCTAAAGAGGCTTAAGATAAAAGGTGCTGTCCCAAAAGACATACTTTTTTGAATTAAGAGTAGATATACATAGAACATTCCAGCATTAATTTTTGAAAAATAAAATTAATTTTTATCACAAATTATAAAAAGAGAGAATTTTGGGGGGTGATCCAACTGTTCTATATCTTGATTGTGGTGATTACATGACTGTGCATTTGCCAAAACCTGTAGAATTATACATCAAAAAGAGTGAATTGTACTATGTAAATCTAAAAACTTTAAAAAGGGGAATAAAAAAGTGATTTCACAGCCCATTAATATCCTTTAGTTTTCCTGCCCAGAAGCAACCACAGTGTAATGTCTTATAATGACATTCTAGTGGTGGAAATTTAGTCACTGAGTCAGACTTACTGGGGAGATGTTTTTGGAAATGATTTTTTTAGAACTCTTAAACCAGGAAATCATCTATTCCACTATAATATTACACTGCAGCTTTTTTGACTTACAGATCTATTTTTCCACTTCTCCTCCACAAGACTGTTAGACTCTGAATAGCATGTTCCCTGTTTAGTTACCTTGGTGTCCCCAGAATCTACCTAGTATAATATCTGACACCTAGTGGATACTCAATGAATATTTACTGAAGAAACAGAAGTCCTGTTTTAAGCACAGAAGGAAATGTGAAAACAAATACGGTATAGCTCTTGGTCTCAAAGAATCTTCAAACTTAGTGGTCATGTTACCTCAATATAGTTAGTAGTACACAAACTAAGTGGGAAATAAGAGGACAGAAGGTAGGGAAAGATTATTGTGTAGGCTGATAATGGAAGCTGTCATCTTATTTTAATGTTCTATAATGAGCATTAGTATATTGTGTGTAACAGGAGACCCTTCAATGTCCTTTCATAGAGCTGTGGTTGATGAAAAACCTGGGTGACAGGAAAAGAGACCAGATGGCGGTAGTCCATCTAAAAATGTTTTACCTAATTGCAGAGTATTTTTTATTTTTAAAGAAACTGAGGATGAAACAGCCTTTGACGAAACTGCATCATCTTGGAATCTACAAAGAATCAGGTCCCGAAGGAAAACAATAATTAATATCACTAAAAACCAAGTCATTCTGGAAACATTTCACAGGCTTCCTTTAGAAGATAAACTTAGTGTTACAGTAATGGCTTTATGGTCATGACATTAAACACATGACATAAAGCTCAGCTATTAATATTTTTATTCTTAAATATCAAGGCCCACTCTGCACTGGGAATTAAGGATTCCAATTTAGTCTCCTGTCCAGGCCATCTAGGGTTTCATAAACAATGTTCTATTTCCTTCATTGTCTGTAACAGTCCACTTCACTAGCTAACATCTGTCACAAAAGAATCAGGTTATAAGAGGGATGTAAGTCAACTATTACTTAAAGGATTGAGCAATCCATCAAAGTGTTATAATTTAACAACTTATTTATCCATTAAACAATTGCTGCATGCCTAACTGCGAATGTGCCTGGCAGAAGAAAAGAGCGTATTACCTACTGTTAACAGTAACATCTGGCGGCCAAAGGCAGTTTACTGGCTTATGACCCAGTCATGCTGCAGCTTTGCGCTGAAAGGGGAGAGGTTAGAAGGTAGAATATTGTCACTGTATTTATGCTTCTAAGTACCAAATCACCTAGATGACTATTCTGGAAAGAAAATAACTACAGGTCAACAATCCCTTATTGTAAACCCTTGGGACCAGGTGTGATTCAGAATTCAGAACTCCTTATAGTTTACAATGGCAATAGGTCCATATACCACATATTATGGAATGTCTCCAGCAGGGACTGGGGCAGCACGCTGTGATCAAACAGTATTTCTGCAGTGAAGTGAATGAATGCTCACACTAAGCAGCATGGATAAAGCCTATAAATGGTTTCACGTAACCACAGGCCAAGCCAGGTTTTACTTCCCAGGTACCCAATTTCTTCATATGTAAAATGAAGTTCTATTGAACTTCTCCAAGTTATGGATTGACCAACATGAATGCTGAGTCAGAACTGAAATATGTATCTGTATCATGCATTAATTTAGATATTGGTCTAGTGCTCCCCATGTGGATCAAAAGGGCTTGAAAATCACTCCACTTTCATAAACATTTCCTTAGTCTAAACGATATTTTGTCTAAGCTGCTTTACTGCCTTCTAAACAAGCTATATGAAAATGTACCCATTGATATTGGTGGGTATAGGTAGGAGAATGGGCATTAAAAAATCCTTTTAGCTGTAAATTACCAACACAAACCCCAGAAACCTTGAAATGTTTTTCTTGGAGGGCAGAATAGAAAATATGAAAGGAATATCAAGTACTAATACATTGTGAAAATAAAGCAGAGATTACTGAAGCATAAACTACAGCTTATCTATATTTAAAGTTTAAAAAATGTGTATTTTCAAATGAGACTTTAAAAAATGTGATTTAAATAGTTATGGAACTTCTGTTTTGTCATCAAAAGGCCTTGGTGTCACACGGTTGTTGCACCTCTTTGGGAAATGAAGGGAAAACACTACATTTGTAGTCTTGGCCAAATGGAAGCTACTTAGGTCTGGGACATTTCCTTTTTCCTTTTTTGTTTCACCTAAAAGAAAAAGATACTAGCAGCAGTTCTTGTGTAGACTTAAAAAATGTCAAACAAACCTGGGTTCTGTTTTCAATTCCTCTCTACTTGTTAACAGGTGACCCTCAGCTGATCTGTCCCTTAATTTTAAAATGCAGGTGATTTCTACCCTGAAGTACTGTTGAATGAAAGTGGTAGCTAAACATATATTTATGGCAGTACTTACTAGCTTGCTACTGAGAAAAACAATAACCCTCGATTCACTTATTGAATGTCTAAGGAAGAAGAGGTATTTTTTAAAATTTCCATAGTTGCAGGTAGGTTAATGTCGAAATGTTTGAGCAGTGTCTAGAGAAATAGAGGTACCACAGATCTGAGGCTGATTAGGTAAGGATAAACTAGTTGAGCGTGCCAGGAACTTTCCTAGGTTTTTGGAATATATCAGATACAGTGAAAAAAGACAAAAATCCTTCCCTCAGGGAGCTTACACTCCAGTGCGACCACTTGAAGATACCAGCCCTATTCTTTCATTCTATCTATAAGAGATACTAGTTACAAACACCTCTAATCTGTCCATTTATGGAGCAGAGCATGTACTCCCTAGCATGGTATTCCATTTTTCCATGTTATACCTTGATGAATTTAATATTCTCTAAAATCGTGAACCCCTTATGGTAAAGGTTCATTCATTCTGTTATCGAGCTCTTAACCACGTACCAAGTATAGCAGATATAGACAAGCTTGGATACTTTCAGAAAACAGCAAAGCAGCCTCTTTCCCTGCCTGCCCCCACGAAACAAATGGAGATAATTTAGTACCTTCTAAAAGTATCTATGTCCTCAACATGAGAAATTTGAGAACTTCCTTAAGTCCACTTTATGGTGCAACTATTTTGATTTTGAATATATGAGGTAGAGCGTCACAAGTTTTTCAGTGCTTGGGTCTCTAAAGATCTTAATTGGGTCTTGGGTACAACAGTGAAAAAGAGAAAGTTCCTATTATTAAAAAATTTAGCCAGGGTTCTTAATCAGGGGTTCATAGTCAGAATTCAGGGGTCCATGAAATTGGATGGGGAAAAATTACATCTCTATTTTAATAACTTCTAATAAAATTTGAATACAGGCAACAGATCACAGTAGTGTTAGGCGTAAACGTGTCACAGCTGAACTCTGATATTTTCCTATTACGATTGCTGCAGACAACTTGCTTGTTAATGAATTATAAAGCATATATATTTCTACGTCCAAAATTAAAATTTTTTGATAATTATTTCAATATCATTGTCTCCCTTTATTATCCAATATACTGTATTTTATGCTTTTTTTTTTTTTTTTTGCGGTACGCGGGCCTCTCACTGTTGTGGCCTCTCCCGTTGAGGTGCACAGGCTCCGGACGCGCAGGCTCAGCAGCCATGGCTCATGGGCCTAGCTGCTCTGCGGCATGTGGGATCTTCCCGCACCGGGGCACGAACCCGTGTCCCCTGCAACGGCAGGCGGACTCTCAACCACTGCGCCACCAGGGAAGCCCTGTATTTTATGATTTTTAAAAACTTTTCTGAAAAGTGATCCATAGACTTCACTAGATTGACCAAGGGGTACATGACAGTAAAAGGTTGAGTTTAATGGTCTAAAGGGTCATAGTAATCTTTGTACCTCCACAGCCTCTCACTTGGTAACTAATCAATACGTATGTACAGAACGAAATAAATGGATTTAGAACTGGTTGAACCAGTACCCCCTATCCCCAAATACTGACACTCTGGATGTCTATAATAGAATACCGTAGGGCTGCTTCTTATTCAAATTTTTTTAATCAAATGCTTTAGATGAAGACATGGATCATATAATTTGTTCATTTCCCTAAAATAAACTTTATACACCTGAATTAAGCAATACTTGATGTGGGTGGATTACATTCTTCATTGAACATACCTACAAAGAAACATTTAAAAAGTTTTGGCAACTGTTTCTTGGAATTGCAGCAATAAGAAATAGTGAGCACAATGGAAAGTAGTTAGGAACACAAAAATGAGAGGGGGCCTATGTATTGAGGCCTGACTTTGGCAAGTTAATTTACCACAGTGCTTTCAAGTAAAACTAGGTGAAGAGGAAATCACATGGTGAGTGCCTTAAAAATACAGGTCCCCAGGGACTTCCTAGTGATGTAGTGATTAAGACTCTGTGCTTCCACTGCAGGGGGTGTGGGTTTGATCCCTGGTCAGGGAACTAAGATCCTACATGCCATGTGGTACGTGGCCAAAAAAACAAAAAAACCCTATGTATCTGGTGTTCTATGTTAAATGTTACTGTATTTTTAAAGATAAGGAAACAGATTCAAAAGTTAATTTGCGGGCTTCCCTGGTGGCGCAGTGGTTGGGAGTCTGCCTGCCGATGCAGGGGACACGGGTTCTTGCCCCGGTCCGCGAAGATCCCACATGCCACGGAGCGGCTGGTCCCGTGAGCCATGGCCGCTGAGCCTGCGTGTCCAGAGCCTGCGCGTCCGGAGCCTGTGCTCCGCAACGGGAGAGGCTGCAACAGTGAGAGGCCTGCGTACCGCAAGAAAAAAAAAAAAAGAAAAGTTAATTTGCCTAAGCTGATACCTTACTTCCTAGCTTATTAGACCAGAAATCCAGAACCCAGGCCTGACTCAAAGGCAGTTCTTTCAAGCTATGCCTTTGGAATGTCTTACAGACCCAACATTCTTAAAGTGAACCATAAAGATTGAACTCACTTCAGGTATCTGCAGACCAAACTCTGAAAATGGTTTTATTTTAGACAATACTTTCCTTATCTTCTCAATCTTTAAACTGTGATAGAATCCCTGCTAATTATAAATTATGGTACGAATATCATATATGTTATGCATAAAATATATAGCGTATAAAGTATCATTTACTAAGCTAGGTATTTGGTAAACTGTTAAAACTGATGGGGCATTAACTTATAACATCTAAAGCAGAGAGAATCATACTCTCCATGATTAAAAATGATTTAACTTTGAAGGGTATATGTACTTTCAGTGAATCCTAATACATGGTGAGATTTGTAAAAAACTAGTTTTTGCCTCAAAAGTGATCTCACAGGCGACACTGCTTTATATATGCATTCAATTCTCACAGCAAGCCAATGAGGGAGGTACTATTCCCACTGCACAGATGGAAGCTGAGGCAGAGTTAAATAACTTGCTCAAAGTCAACACAATGGGCAGAAGTGTGACTTCAACCCAGGCTGACTGGCTCTGAGACTATGCTCCAAGCCACTACACTATACTGTCTTTTGAGAGCTTATTAAATTTCATATTATTTTCTTAATTCTTCGGAAAACTCAATGAAGCTGACAAATACTATTTTTATAGGATTCAAAGTCTCAGACTGATGAATATACCCCAAATCACATAAGTACTGAGATTCAAATCCAGGTCTTTCCATTGCTAACGCTCATACTCTCAACTACTAAATTAACTTCTCATGATCCTATGGTGATGATCTTAAGTGGATTTAACCATCAGAATGCATAATATAAACACATACAATGTGACAGATAGGCTGTAGGTCTATTTTGACTTCAACTAGCACAAAAATATTTTAATAGCATGTCCTTGCCAGTGTTATCAGAGGAATTACTTTCCAGTTATTTGAACTGTTAAGTGCATTTTAAGTGAACTTTACACAGTATCAAGATATATTCTAGAAATTTAGGGTTCTCTCAAGCTACGATGTGTTACACATAACTTTTAAGTTTCTACTCAGATTACTGAAAGGCAGAATGGGTTCAGGTATGTAAATTAACAGCCTATTTGAAGTTTATCTTCATCAGACCACTGAGCAGGTATTAATAATTAACAATTAAATAAGTAACACCTTAAATAAACAACTCAGCAGTAAACAGGGGTGTCCAATAACTTTCTGAATCTGGGTACAACTTTGGGCCCATGACAATTACTCAAGTAACACTGTTTTATCTTTTCCTCTCTCCAGATGGTTGAAGAGGTGGGAGACTATGAGATAGTCTTAAATTTGTTAGAAATAGGTTATTAGTCTGGACAGTCAAGTTTTAGCCTAAAATGGGGCATCTTGCTGGATGTATGGAGGTTTGCACTATGCACTGCAATCCAAAATGTAACTTATAGCAGAGCAATTCACGGGTAGCCCTAAGTTTCTCTTTTCATGGAAATACCTCAGGTTATTTCTTCTGGTACATCTCATGGAAAGCAATGAAACCTGGGTTACTGTGCCAAGATCTAGTAATAACCAACACCTTTGATATATTTTTTGATTATACAAAATCTTATCTGTCTTACCTGCTTCCTTCTTTTGCTGACATCTTTCCATTTATTCTGCCAGTTAAACTCCCAGAGAGAAACAGCAGCTCATTTACGTTACTGGGTAATGGGATGAGAGTGAGTACAGGTTATGGAAAATTTAGTTCATATCAGTCAGAATTGTATTTTCCACTTTTGTGGAGGGCCTGGTTGCCCTAAGGTGTTAGTTGCTTTTCTCTCCTTGTGACAATTATACCCTCCTCATTTAAGTAATCTAAAGAATTTGACTATCTCAGATTTCTCCTCCTTTAGGTAAATGTACATTGATAAAATCTTAGCTGGACAAGAAACAGACATGTTTTGTTCAAGTCTAACCTCCTGGTTCAACTGAGCACCATTTTTTCTAAAAGTGGTTGTGAAGATCATCCCAGTCAGTCTGGCTAGGAAGAATTAATGATATAGGTATAAAGGGCAGACACCACCTTTTAGAACAAGGCATTTTTCAAAAGAAGCTGAGGCTCATGGTCATTGCTATGTTTTTTTTGGAACTGTGATAAAAACCACTATTCTTGGAGTACAAGTTAGGTTAAATGAAAAGACCTGAAAATTGGGAAGGAAAAATAATCAAATCAAATGAAAAGCTGAGTATTATGTACAAAAAAAAAAAAATCACAAAAATACTTCAGAGCTCTTCCTCCTCTCCTCCTGGCCCGATTTCAGGGCAAGGTAGAATTTTAAGTCCTGATTCCTTTGGGAAATGATCAGACTGCATGAAGTAGAATGTGATTTTGACCCCTTAGTAGGAAGATTTAAATATAAACCCTCTTTCAATCCCACATGCCCTCTGTAAACTCTTATTTCTTACCTCTTTTGGAGCCAAACTTCTTTTTTTTTTTTTTTTCCCCCCCGATACGCGGGCCTCTCACCGTTGTGGCCTCTCCTGTTGCAGAGCACAGGCTCCGGACGCGCAGGCTCAGCGGCCATGGCTCACGGGCCCAGCCGCTCCGCGGCACGTGCGATCCTCCCGGACCTGGGCACAAACCCGTGGCCCCTTTATCGGCAGGCGGACTCTCAACCATTGCGCCACCAGGGAAGCCCTGGAGCCAAACTTCTTAAAAATTATCTACATGCAGTGCCTACTTCTTTCCCCATTCCTTTCACTCACTCCTTAAACTCCTGAAATCTGGCTTCTTCTCAGTACTCCATAAATATTAGAATTTCCATACAAGAACCCAGAACTGCAACGAATGCAAAACGGATTCCAAGAATGAGAAAGACGAGAGTGCAGAGTTTATCCGGAAAACAAGAAAATCCAGCAACCCATCTTAGGCAAATACACTGCCAGATGAAATGCTACAATAATTGCTCATAAATTATCTCGGGACTAGTAAGAAACAAAGAAGCAAACAATTTTAGAAAGACAAAAACATGAATACTGAAAACAGAATAGTCATGGGACTGAAACTAAAGAGGCATAATACCCAATATTAAAGATACAAAGAGTAAACAAAGCAGAGTTGAAATGGAGATTCTTCCATTGAGCTTGCCAAATGTTAAATACATAAATGTAAAGTTCATCATCAAAAACAGTACTTCATGTACTTAGATTTCAAATGACCTTTAAAAAACTGAGACTGCAGGTTAGTATCAAAATCAACTTTTCAACCAAGGTTTCTTGCCTTCCAGGCCAATTTTCTTCCTACAGATGTGTTACCCATGCTGGGCCCAGAACAGCACATTTCTGTCCCTTCATCTCAGGGACCAGATTTCAACCAATCCACCTAGCTGTCCTCAGGCTTTACGTCAGAACTCTCCAACCTTTGCAACTTTAATATCCCAAGCTCAAAGAAAAACGTCATAAACTCCAAGTATAGGCTTTTTAGTAAGCCGAACCCCAGAAAAGGACCAGCATTTCTATCATGTTTTACTCAGCCAAGAAGAAAATCCATCTCCTCTGAAGCACCTTTGAAGCCTTCCTTTTAGTAGTTCGTATGGATTTCTTTATTCATTCATCAAATCTTTGTTAATAGACTAATATTTGTCAGTTCTGCGTTGTTACTTTAATATTTCAGATCGTTCTGTTTAGAATGCTTGCTAACACATCACTCTGATATGCTTAGGTGTTTAGTAAATGTTGCTTAATTCCCCAAAGGGTATTACAAACACATATAGAACTGTGTTGATTACTTCAGAGGTATCTTATGTTTTTTGATGGAGTTTTTGGTGGAAGGAACTGTTATTTCAGATTTGTTTGTTTTAATCCATTGCAGTATTAGAAAAGTATCTTTCTTGTACATAGTAGATGCTCAATAAACATCTGCCGATTTGAAATACAAAAAACAAACAAAAAAGCACTTAATTTTCACTGCATTCTCAATTTTTGGGACAGAGTAAATGCTGTACCATCCTATTATTAGGAAAGTATTTCACTGAAATAGTATAGCACTGGTAAAGGCCATTTATATCACACTTATGTAAGACGTTTAGTTGCAGCTTAGCAATTGTAATGAAGTACTCTACTACGTTAACGTTATTTGCAATTGTATACTTTTGTACATCACCACTTAGGCAACTGCTTTATTTCAGTATGTTTAAAAAATAAGTTTTTCTATAATTTTTCTGTCTTGTATATAAGATATTATGAAACATTCACAAGAAAATGGCTCTACATATGCTAACACCGAGCCAACAGCATAAATGCTGTCCAGTTCAATGGGGACAACTGCCAAGAAACTATGAAAGATCCCACTTAATACTACATTAATGACTAAAAGTCTGGTGGTGCAGGGTAAGGAAGGAGGAAAGCTGAGTTTTATTTTGGCTCAAAGGTGAAAAAATATTATCATTTAGGTTATGCTAAGGGTTATGGTTACTGAACTTTATCTTATGGTGGTGGAGTAGCTCAAAAGTCTCCAAGCTGTTCCATTTACAAGCACCTATGTGCCAAATTCATCAAATCATGACTTAGGTGTAAAGAGGGTGACTCTGATGAACATTTCCTAAAATGTTTTAAGACAGAACTCACTGAGGACTAATCTTTACAGCAAGTTCAATAACATACATCACCATCAAATAGTCCATATCAAATTAAGAATTATGAATATGTACCAACTTACTGTACATTAATTGCTTACAATTGTATATCTCTGCACTTTCCTTAAGTGGCTATATTCATGAACATATTTATATTGGATTAAGTTCATATTCTTGCAAAGAAATGTTTTTCTAGTGCCACTTTAATTATCCAAACCTATTAAAAACTGAGAAATAAAAAATCATAGGATAGAGGGCTCACTTTTCTGGTTAATCATTAGCTATGAGCATCTTGATTTTGCATCCTGACATTGCGATATTTATATTTACTACATATACCTTTTGTGGCATATTAAACCCAGCAGGTAAAATTATGCCAACTTGTTACAAACACAACAATGGGTCAACTAAACAAGACTAGAAAACATACGTTTTAGTTTTCTGAATGTTGTTAAAGTAAAATGCTTAAAATATTAAACATTAAAGTTTGCTGAATGAGTTAAAGATCTTCCCTGGAGAAACTACAACTGCTGAATCCTGTATGACAGGCTCATCTGCGTCTACTTTAAAAATACACGCTGTTAAAAACATTTAACTCAATATAAAGCTATAATTATAATAATTATAATATAATTTTTAGTAAAATGTTTTTCATTTGCCCCCTTAAGTTCGCTTGTCTCAATTCTGTGATCAGCTTAAAATAATTCTTACTGTAACTGCTGGGTTTACATCACCTTTGAGTTGCCGGCATTTCATTTCTGAGAATGCTAAGAAAATTGATTCTATTTTGGAAGAGACACAGACAGGTGGACAACATAACTGACGGCTGTTCTCTCAAATTTCATAGCTTAAAATATAAAAGCATTTTAGAACTTTGAAGGCATGAAACAATTCTAACATTTTTTATAATTTAGGACATCATCTTTTACAGAATTAATTAACTACACTGATCCTCAGTAAAGACAGGGCCTAATTTTCATAATCAACTGTCGGGATTTTTCAAACTATACAAGAACACAAACAAAATTTTATTGTAATTTTTTTGACTTCAGCCACCCCAGGCACTAACACGATCTCAATAACAAGAATTTTACATTCCTTACGTGGTATGGGCTGAAAAAAACTGTTGCCCTCTATCATCACTTTATCAAAGGAAAAACTGGAACTGTATTTTCCTAACAATTTGGTCATACAAGTTTGACTTATCAATAAATTGCTAAGAGTTCAGCTGAGGTAATCCCTGTCCTTGGGTCCTAAGTACTTTGAGACTACTTTTTAAAAATTTAAAAAATCCACAAGAAACTTACATGTTCCAAAGTCCTCTGCTAAATGCTTTACATAACTTTGTTTAATCCTAACCATCACCCCCATGAGGCTGCTATTACCACTGAGGCTTAGAATGTTACGAATTTCTGTAAAAAATTAGCAAGCTATTCAAGATAGATTTAAAACTGAAGCAACAGGAGTCCAGAAAGGCCACTAATATTACTGTCCAACACACTAAAGTCAGTCTTCATATACCATCTCCAAGAGGACCTCCCTCCTCTGAAGGAAGACTTATTGAGTTTGACTCTTGGGGCTGCTTTAAAATTTTCATATGCTTGTTCTCTTTGTCTTGTCTTTATCCTTTAGCAGATATGAATGAAAGAATGTTACATGACTTTGAATGAAAAGATCACAAATGTAGTAATGAGTCAAAGAATTTTGAGCTAAAAAAAAAGATACTCTTATATATCATGTACCCAAATACCAAGAATACTACAATAACATCAATAATTAAAAAAAATTAGGATTTAGGGCAAGGAGTTAAAGAAAAATTATTTTCAGAAAATTCGATTATCTTTTTGCCTCTGTCTAGATACTTCAGTTTCTTTTAAATATCTGAGTAACTTTACCATAATTCTGTCATAGCTTTGAGCTCTTACTGGTTCTCTTATGATCAGACTTTCTTCGTATTAGACTAAACCCTCACTCTAAGAAATATCCAGGGCTTCCCTGGTGGCGCAGTGGTTGAGAGTCCGCCTGCCGATGCAGGGGACGCAGGTTCGTGCCCCGGTCTGGGAGGATCCCACATGCTGCAGAGCGGCTGGGCCCGTGAGCCATGGCCGCTGGGCCTGCGCGTCCGGAGCCTGTGCTCCGCAACGGGAGAGGGCACAGCAGTGAGAGGCCCGAGTACCGCAAAAAAAAAAAAAAAAAAAAGAAATATCCAGGAAGTCAGGATATTGTGGTATTCTTAAAGCTAAAATTGATGTCCCCTCCTCCACACCATGCATAAATTGATCCCTAGGTCATCTACACATGTTCAAAATTCATTCATGAATATATTTAGTAATAAACCTAAAATCCTTGCCAAAACTTTGTTATTACTTATGTGACACACCACAAAAAACCACAAATATGGGATGTGGAAGGCTGCTCTACCCCACCCCTGTGCACTCACCTCTAGTGTTTTAAAAATACACAACAGCTGGTTACAACCCTGGACAATAATTCAGCTGGATGAATGGTGGGCAAAAGCTACACATTTCTAGAGTTCTACAGGTGTTCCAGACACCTGACCCTGTTGAAAAAACCCTTGATATAATAGCAACTAACTCAATACTCTTTAATGAACTACCTATAATTATAATACAAATCAATGTCCTAATTCCCTTTTGACAGAAAAAGAAGGTAGATTTCTTTATTTACGTAAGGCATTCCTAATTCCACTTTTCAGCTTTCTAACCCAGTTTTTCCTCTGGGACACTGCGGTTATTCTTTCAGAAGCTGGCATCATCAATTCCTCTAATACTAATTTTTTAAATGAAATTTCTACACAGAGTACATAATTTTTTTTTCTAAAAGTTAAGGGTCATGGAGTTGTTTTTTGAGATAGGAACTAGCCTTGTTTCATTTCTTTATGGTTAGATGTCCATTGGATATAAAGCTGGAAAATTTCTAACTATCCAATCACATGACAAATTATAGAAATCACTACATTATACAGGTCTCACTTCTCACATACAGTATTTCTGTGAAATCTGCTGGGTCCCTCCCCCCAACCCCCCGCCATTTGTCTTCCATAGTAACTCAAATTGAGGTTATTGCTTACATAAAGAAGTATTATAAAATGAACAACATAAGTTCATATAAGACACAATACCACCCCTGAATCACCAAGCCCTAAGAATAATTTGTAAGAGTTTGAAACTAAGCCTAAATGTAAACCTGTTCAGTCTATTTCATCTCTATTATGCTTAAAACACGTCTATAGTTATACTGATGATCAGAAAGAAAACAGTAAACATTCTGTACCTTTTCCTATACTTACCAACGTTATTTGCAAAGAAGGTATTTCTGAATAACAAATAATTTCATAAGCTCTTCCCATTGTTGTATCCATGAATAAGTGAGGCCAATACATACTACCTTTGTTTAAAAATGAAACAAAGCCACTCATCTGCCTTGTTCCCAGAAACATGACATATATAAGATCATTCTTTATAAAACTGTTTTTGTAGTTATCATCTGCATACATTTGAGACATGTTTTTGGACCATGCTTTTGTCGTTTATAATCACTCTGCCTAGTCTTTCCTTGATACGATAATCCATTTATCAGCCATAATTTTAACTCCTAACAAGTGAAGTGCATACCCCTAATGACCCAAAGTGTCAGTTAATTTTGTTTTTCAGGATAATACACAAAAGGAAAGGAGAAAAACAGCACAAATATATCGGCATCTTTAGCCCTTCTGACACCCTCAGGAAGAAAGAAATTTCCCATCTTTTCATAGTGTAGACAGACTCTGAAAAAGAACAAACACACAACATTGTTTTAGTAACACAATCGGGAAAAAAACACAGTCCATTTGAAATACTGGGCAAAACAACTTAAAGACCAATGACTTCGGTTTCCGCTACCTAGTTCAACAGAAAATTAGTTCCTAAAGTGGTCGTATATATGGAGTTCCACAAATTAAACACTAAATGTATTTTTTAAGTAAGTCCGTGATCCATGCTACTGAAGATCCCGTCTCCGCAGTATTTTTAGCATAACGCTCTAGGTTTATTCAAGAATCCCAGTTACTCCGGAACCAATAGCCAGCAGCGCCAATCGGTCTATCATCAATATTCCCTTTCAACATCTCCCTGCTTTCGTTGGCAGGTATGAAGATGTCGTTTTAAACCGGGTGTGTTACTCCTGTAGGACTCTTCCTGTCTTTTCTTTATTTCGGGGCCAAAGCACCGTTCCCTTCCACCTTAGCTCCCTTCCAACATCGATTTCTTTGGAACCTTTTGCAAATCATTGCTGTATGAAAAACCAATGAGGGTACGACACCCTGGGAAAAGATACGGATGGTTGAAAAATGAATGGCAAGAAGATAAAAATAAATTTGGGAGGGAGAGCCCAACTCCGTTAGGTGAAAGCTTCTCCGACCAAAGGCGACAGAATCGCCACCCGGGGTCTCCGCACTCCCCAAAATTCTCAACCCCCCCGACTATCCTGTTAGCGGGTCTCAATGATGCTCTGAGACCAGGAGTAAACTGACTCCCTCAATCCCTTAGTTATAAAATGGAGCAAGAGGAGTAGAGGGCCTCCGCAACCCCTGCAAGACCGTGAGGTCAAGGCCCACTCGGTCTCTCATGCCGCCACCAGCCAGACGCGTCCTACTCAGTCCCCAGATGCCGCCTCCATCCCCCGGTGCCCAGGTTTGGAACCCAGGCTCTCCGACCGGGTTGTCCTCCTCCTCACCGTCCCCTCTGCACCACCACTCGGCTCCCGCGTTCCCTAAAACCTCAGCCAGCTCCGCAGAAACGTCCTAGCACTCCTAACATGGCGGCCGATTCCCCTTCGCTCCCTTTGCCCGCTCTGGGCGCGTCCGACCTTGGCGCATTTTGGGCATTGTAGTTCCGGCAACAGCCTCGGTGTCCCCGCCAGCCCATGAGGAGACTACAATTCCCAGAATGCACCGCACCTGAGCATGGCTATTGGGGCCTTTTGGACAGAGGGATGATGTCATTGCAAAAACCCCACTGCATTCATTGTGCTAAGGTCTATCCACCCCCCTGCTGCTGCTAGGCTTGCGATTGCCGCTCGCTCCAGCTGAGCTAAGAGTAGCAGCAGCACCAGGGCAGGGACTGACTCCAGCCCTTGGACTTAGGACATCGCAACACCTTCCCTTGCGTGCGTGACTCATTCGCACATCCTTTCTGTTTATGCCTGGGGTGGGGAGAAAAATCCCAAACCAGGTGAGTTGAAGTGATTTATTCAAATGATTCTTACCAAGTTATTCCTCCCGCTTAGTTCTCAAGGCTTTCTTTTGGGAAGATGGGGGCGGGAGGACTGGGGAGGTGCTCGCAAACGCTGCTAAGCGAAAAGCTCTGTGCAATTTGGGTCACTGCAAAGAACAACTCCAGCAACCTTCCCCCGCTGGAGGACCTATGCCTGCCAGTTCCCTAGTCGCAACTCCCCTCAACCTTTTTGGAGTCTGGGAGAGGGGGCTGGGCTGCGGAGGACGTTGGGAAGTGCTCTTGGAAAATCAGAGGAAGGCAGAGGTTGGTGGACTGCAGTCCTGTCACACACGGCCCGAGTGCTGAGATTTGAGTGGGAAGGGGTGATGCGTGGGGAGAAATGGAGACAGTGATTTAATGTGGTCGCACTACTTTGGAACATTTCATGTCACTTGGGCGAGCACACACTATTCATTTTTAAGATGAGCGTGCTTCTGAGTAGGTTAAGTTTTGTGGGGCTTTATTTTATGTGTATGTGTGTCTACGTCGTTTGTCTCGCCTTTTCTGCTGATTTGAGGTGACAGTGTCCTTTAATGGTGCACTCCGTGCCTGTCAGAAACATTTCACGTGTCTGGTGAAGGTTCTCTTGGGCTTCTAGATGCAGCATTTTTGTTAAGTGTTTTTCTTCTCCCAACTGCAGGATTTCAGGATTGTTTGGAAGTGGAGCCGACAGATTTGTGCTTGTGTGAGTGTTTTAAATTACATTGCAATAGGCTCCTTGCCACTGACAATGGTACCATAATGAGCTGCCGTTTCCTGAGGCACAGTCACCAGTCACAAATAACGGTTTGGAGAAGGGATCATTAGGTACACTGTGGTTCATTTTAAAGCGTTAGGGAAAGGAAAAGTTAGAAGCGCCATTAACCTTCATTTGCCGTTACTGAAAGGTACGCATGGAAGAGTGATCCTGGAGGTGGAAACCGAGGAGGATAGTGGAGTTTTTTTTGCTTTTTGGTTTTGGTTTTTAAACAAACTGACACGTTTAACAAGACAGAGAGCATTTCGACCCGTATGATATTGGCTCTCTTCTTGTAAGAGTTAGTAGGATGATTAGTACAATAAATATGTTATTTTGAAATAAACAGCTGGCTGACTCCAGAACAGATGGGGCCAGTCTTAGCTGAGAGATCTACAACCTTGGAAATGAATGGACCTGGGGTCAACCACACCCCCTCTTGGAATGTCAAAAGGAGGAATGCCAGAGTGTTTTATGCTTAACTTCAAAATGCTAAACCTTTCATAGCCAAGGCAGGCATTGGGGGAAAGTCATTACTGTTTGTCTTCTGTTGCTGAACCAATTTTGTACATTTTTAATTCAGACCCTTAGGTCTCTAAAGTTGCAGCTGGGCGATGCTTCGTTAAATGCTGCTTGTTACTGGATGCAAAGGACAATTCATTGTATGGGCTTTGTGGTAGAGTGATTTATTGGGATGCAATGAGCAGCTTTGGGATTTGGGAAAAGATGGACTGCTTGGCTTTGCTTCTCTCTGTGTTTTTCTGTTGCTTACTGTCTGCTTTGCTGAGCATCCCTCCCGCTGTACCTTCCTTTCCCCACCCCTCTGTGTCTCTTGAAGTTCTTCCAGTTTCTTTCCCTGCCTCTCCATTTGCAATTCTCATTTTTCCTCTGTGTTTCAAAATCTCCCTCTTATCACCAGTAGATGACATCTCTTTCTCTGAGTCACTTTCCAGTCTCTGAATACCCTCTCATCCCTTCTCTTCTTCACCCAGAAACTCCAGGGTGAATGAGACTGTGCTAATAGTTATTCTACAGAGTCCTCATTGAAGAGGCTTTGCCTTTTCTTTTTCTTGCAGTTGGTGCTTGGCAGGATGAACAGCAACGAACCTGACCCCTTGGCCTGGTTTGTGGCTTCTGTGACAGACATAGTTTGGCCTCAGCAGCACGTGGACAGTTAACTGTTGCAGTTGAGCTCATGCCACTTTTCCTTTCCTTGGTACCTGTATTAAGAGCTGCCAATGCATTAGCAAGGTTTTTAAATGCTCTACACAAAATGTTCTCATAATTCCCAAAGAATAAGTAGACTTCGAATGGCTTCTGCCTCATTTAATACTTTTTTTTTCCTTTCCCTGCTTTAGTATGTGGTAGGAAGGCTGTCTTTTCCCCTCCCTTCCCTGTTGATTGCTGAGGAGCAGGTCCAGGTGGCCAAACTAGCCATTTGGTTTTTTTTTTTTTTTTTTTCTTAAGGTGCTTGGAGCAGCAACAGCTTTTCCTCCTGTTATTTCTTCTCCTTTGTGGATGAAAGAAGTTTGTTATTTTATAAACTTCCTATTAAGGAGAAGGATGTGGTAGTGGTTATGTTTGTGTAAGACAGTGCTGCTCTAGGCATGAAAAGTCTAACTGCTGCCCATCTGGAGGCAATTAGTGTGACAGGCAGATTCAGAAGCTGTCATCTTGGACCTCTCACTCATCATCTTTTCATCCCTTCTTCTAAGCTGTGCCCTCTCCTACCCAGGCTTTTTAGTGTTTTAGGGAGGAGAAATGAGCAGAATGGAAGGTTAGTTTTGGCCCTATCACTGCTATCCCTGTGACCTTGAAAAACTGTGCATTCCTTTCTTGCTTATTTTATTTTATTTAAACATTTATTTATTTATGGCTGCATTGGGTCTTCGTTGCTGCACGTGGGCTTTCTCTAGTTGTGGTGAGCGGGGGTTACTCTTTGTGGCGGTGCACATATTCTCATTGCAGTGGCTTCTCTTGTTGTGGAGCACGGGCTCTAGGCATGCAGGCTTCAGTAGTTGTGGCATGCAGGCTCTAGAGTGCAGGCTCAGTAGTTGTGGCGCATGGGCTTAGTTGCTCTGCGGTATGTGGGATCTTCCCGGACTAGGGTTTGAACCTGTGTCCCCTGCATTGGCAGGCGGATTCTCAACCACTGCTCCACCAGGGAAGTCCTCTCCATTAGTTTAAATCCTTTGCAAAGGGATAAGAATCCTTTCCCCTTGGTTTACCTCGCCTGATGTTATGGCCTCAGCCTGTCCTTCTGTCAGCAGATATGGTGAGCAGCTACTATATTCTAAGGACTGGATACCTCAGTGAAAAGAGACGCTTCCACTGCCATCATGGAGCTTATGTTCTAATAGGGGAGATAATCATTGGAGAAGTAATTGCAGGTGTGATGAATGCTCCTGCCAAAGGGGGATGTACTACTAGGTGGGATAGAAGTGCCTAATGTGGTGTGCTTCCCTTGTCTGGGAGAATCAGGGAAGGCTTTCTGTAGGAAGTGACATTTCAAGAAGACTTGGAGAGTGAGTGTAAGTAATTTAGGACGGCAATGGGTGGTGCTGAGAATGGGGACAAAGGGCAACTGCATGTTCAAAGTACAAAGGAAAGCGATAAATATGAGGATTTAAAAGGTTAGTATATGGGGGCCGAGCAAGGGAGAGAGACCAGAATGAAGACGAATGAGGCTGGAGAGGTGGACAGAGTCTAAAGAGTGGGCAGTTTTCTGAGCCACAGGTGAATTTGGTCTTTATCTTAAGTGAATGGCTTTACTTAGCTAGATGAATTACATATGCAGGTAGAATGATGTTAAAACCATCACGGTGCCTGTTAAGTGGGAAAGAGACTGGAAAGAATTAACCAAAGTGAACGTGAGATGAGGTAGCATGTCATTTTTGTAGTCTACGTATGGAATGGTGGTGGCTTGGATCTAGGGTGGTGGCAGGGGCTAGGACAGAAGGGAAGAGATTGGAGAGACACTAAGTTTGAAGATTATAAGTGATAAGACTGTAGACTGATTGGATGTGGGTATAGGGAAAAGAGAGAGTCGAGATGACTTGAGTTTTTCCTTGAGCCACTGGAGATGCCGCTTACAAGAGAAAGGTAACATTAGCTGGGGACCAGATTTTTGTTTGTTTTTTCAAGGAGGAGGGACTTTTGGTCATATTGAGTTTCAGGTTCCAGGAAGACATCTAAGATCTTTCACTCACTCTGTCTGTGTGTAGGATGCAGCATGGTGGAATGGAAGAGAGCTCTGGTGAGGCTTTCTAAGACTGAGTACTACTTATTTATTAGCTGTATGATTTTGGACACGTCATATTTTTTTGGTGAGCTTTAGTTTCCTCATCATAAGATATATTTATTCCACTAATTTATACTGATCACCAGGTATACGTGCACTGTGCTAGGAATACAGCATTGAATAAGATAGTATTTGCTTTGGAAAAATTGCTCAGGTGAGGGAGTGGAACATAAACATATAATCACACACAGAGAGGTTTGTAGGCAGTGCTAGGAGAGCACAGCCCCAAGGGGGACTTTCATGCTTCCTTGGTGGGGGAGGAGCAGTGTTCACAAAGTTGTTGGTGACCTTTGACCTGAGACATGGAGGCAAGAAAAAACTCACCAGTCTGGGTTCCCAGGCACCTAATAGAGTGCCTTGCACAAACTGGGGACTCTGTGAATGTTTGTAGACTGAATAAACTAATCTAAGTCATAAGGGCCCATTCAAAAGCAGGAAATATCAACATATCGGAAGATGGCAATGAGTAATGCAAATACAAAATGTAAAATGGTTTTAACAAATGCATTAAAATGAGGACACCCAAGCTTCTGAAATGTTTTTTGGTTGACTTAAAGGGAAATTTCAGAAATATTTCAGATCTGGTTTCTTTTTGGGCTGAACTTCATTTATTCTAGTTAGTTTCTCAAAGATAATTTTGATTGGATAGAATTCCCTAGATCAATGGGTTTCAGACTTTTGAATTTTATAGATAAGTAAAAATACAAAAAATAAGATAAAATTGGGTGAGTTGTTGCCAATGGTTATTTTTCTGTAGTAAAGATATTTAAAAAATATGTCCTCCTTCGCTTTATCTCATGAAATAAAGGACATTTTATATCAAAAGTTGTAGAAAGAGCATAATTTTAAAATTAAAAATATATTTAGCTTTGTGAAAAATTCTCTATTTTTTTCATTTTATTGCAGAATAGTAAAAAACAA